TCTTCTACCATGTCTTCAGAACACTCGGTAACGCACTGAACACGGTTGGAATCGGCATCGACATAGGCTCCAGCAGGAACGCACTTGCGGACCTTGGTAGTCTCATCCCGCAATGATGTCACAGTCACCCAAACACCTTCCGTGCCGGCAAACCTGCCGTGCTGGACCTTGCAACCACCGCAGCCACAATCCAACTTGACGGGGCAGACATCACCGCAGCAGCCGCAGGTTGGGGCAGGAGGGTGATGGTGGTCGTGGTGGGGAGGTGGTGGGAAGTCCTTGGGAGGACCGTCCACAGGAACGCAATGACTGGGGGACAAAAAGTCGGGTGGACCATGGCCATGCGGTCCGTGTCCATGTCGACCACCATGATGCGGCCCACTGCGACTGCTGCCATGCGGTCCGTGTCCATGTCGACCACCATGATGCGGCCCAGGAGGCCCACTGCGACTACTACTGCTGCTACTGCTGCTGCCGGAACGAAGTTGGCGATGAGGTCCGTGATGGTGATGCTCCTTTTCGCCCCAATGATGATGCTCCTCCTTGTCTCCCCCATGATGATGGTCTCCGTGGCCATGTCCGTGATGGGGTGGGCCCAAGTGTGCTTCGTCCTCCGAATGTGAATGTGGTGGTGGGTGATGACCGGTGAATCGATCCACAACGCGAAGGAATGCTCCTCCGATTCCGCCTCCACCATGGTGTTTTCCGTCATGAGGCGGGTGCGGGCGACAGACGAACATTCCCGCGCCACCATCGGGCAACGAGCACGCCTCAGTGTCAGTTCCGACGGTGCAGTTTGGGTGAGGATGTGGTGGGTGAGGATGGGCTGCAGCAAAGCTGCTGGCCAGGGCAACGGTTAGAAGAACAGACTTGAGATACATGTTGGTTAAGTTAGTCGATGTGAGCCAGAAGATGTTGTTTGATTCGATTTTGTGAGAGCAGTTCCTTCGGTACAAAGCACAAATCAAACGCGACGAGGAGAAGAGATCGTGTCAATGTGCCCAAGAAGGAGAGCGAGGCTTTGGATCACTGGATCCCAAATGAAGCACCCTACCAGCCCTACGAAGCTTGTACATACGGCGATTCTGTACCCGTGTTTCGCGGTAGTGTTTGGCACGATCCCCATCCCCAATAAAGTTGTCTACGACTAAAACCGATCCTTGGACTGGAAAATCTGAGCAAATTTGACGGATTTTGCTTGCAGCAAGGACCTGGTGTCTAGATAGCCCAGGATTCGTAAAGGTGATGGGATATCCGTGTACCAGAGGGCATGCTGGGAGTGATTGGACGTTCACCCAAGAATATGGTTGTCCAACTGCAGAGGTGCTTTTCCAAAATGCACGATCCCTTTTCTAGCTGGCAGTACGTTACTCCGCTTTTCAGCAACCAGGGCCCTGTCTTCCAGGTATATGAGATGCTGACAAGACAGAGGTCTACGGAGGCGTTGGAAGGATAGTCTTTGGGAGATTAAGCCCCACTGACTCAAGATGCGGGGCTACCAAACTCGGAGGAGAAGTTGCACGATGGCATTGCGGGGTTTGTGTGGTGCGCTGTGAAGATTCGTCTTCGTCTGACGCAGCAGCCAATTTTCAATCGAAATACAATCGAGGAAAACTAGCAATCCTTGAATGAAGTAGTACAGTTCCATCAAAGATAGCTACACTTGCTTCCTAGATTATTGCTTCCTCCTTGCTAGTAGGAGGAACCACTACAGTACAAGCTGCTCTAGTTACATCGAGTCAACTTCCTTGAGGAGTTGGTCTACCTGTTCCTCTGTGAGTCGGTGGATCCCCAATTTACTCGACAGTATCACTGCCTCGAACTTGTAGTTGAGCCGTGCCTCTGTTGGATTTTCACCAGTACTATCCTTCTTATTGCGTCTCTTTCGTTTCTTCAATCCAAAGAATGAGGCAGTATTGTCCATTTCTTCCTGAGCATCCACGAGAATTGCTGCCAAGGATCGAATTCGTTCCCACATTGTGGATGAGGGATCATCTTCCAGTTTCTGAATGGCCTTTTCCAGCTTCAGCCTCTGATCATGGCTCCCTCCCGTGATTTTCAAAAGATCAACACTGGAAGAAGAAACTTGCTGTGATTTTTGTTTGTCAGTGGATTGTAGAGGAATTGATTTGACACCACCAGAAGGATCAGTCTGGATGATTCGAAATGGAAATGGCTGGGAGGCTTCTGTAGCATCGTTTCTTTTGTCTTCCCCTGCTGTCGCCCCGTCAATATCAATTCCCATTACGAGCATAGTTGAACCATAGGGTCGTATTCCTCCTGAGAAACAATTGGTATGACAGGCAGTTCCTATTGATTCTGCTATCTTGGTGAGCATCATGGATGGACGATCTTGGTCTCCAAACACAAACTTAAAATCTTCCCAATCATTCAGTGCCTGCTTCAATAATGCCAAACTGTCTGCCAGGACTCCACTCATGGCCACCACAGCCGTATCTTCCAAGACCACTAAGCGATCCTGGGGTCTTTGGTGGTGTCTACTACTGGCACTATTCGACGGAGACCGTGAACACGTCATGGCTACCATTGTGTCGTCACAACACCCCAATTGGCAAACTATGAGTGGTGATGAATTCTCTGCGGCGGTGGCAGCATACTCCACTTGAAGTAACCGGCCATCCGGCGAAAAATGTATCATTCTGTCATAGTAGAGGGGCTTGTAGTTAGTGGAAGATGAAGCCACTGAAATGGTAGAGAGAAACGCCAATGCAATCAGTTGCTTCATCGTGGTGCCGTCTGTCCTATTAGAGGTATCGTTTGTCAGCTTGTCGCTCTGGTCGTCTGCTCACACCTTGCACCACACAAGCGATTTTTCTCATTTCAACATTTTGGAAAAACATCAAATCCCTTACAAATCTTTCGAAAACCATTCTGCAGTGACGATCATTCGTGCATGGATATCTTTTGTAACCAAAATTTCTCGTTTGAAAGGTCAACAAGGCGTGTGACAGTAAAGTTTGTACTAGTAACGACGCCAACCGAGGAAAGCACCAAGCAAACGAACACAAATGCAACCAACCCAAGACAACGCATAAGTTGGAGAGGAGGGAAGAAACACTCTTCATTGAAGTAATCGGTTACAATCTATTGCAATTGGATTAGGAGCGTTCTCGCGGATACTGCCTGAAAAGCTGCCTGCACGTTTTGACAGGTCGGTTGGGCAGGTGCTGGAGTGACAACACCTCCCTTCCTCCAAACAAACAATCGATCGGATTCCTAAGTGTAGACGTACGACACTGGCTTCTTCCTCTTGAGAAAGCCATCCTCTTCTGGTTCTGGTTTGACCTCGGCTTCAATATGAAAGTGTTCTTTGAAGGCAGACGGGAGTTTTCGTCGCCACCAAACCGGGAATACCATGTCCATGAAGCTGCCAAACAAGCCGGAAATCACCGGTATCACATACTTCCAAAACAGAGTCAAGGAGGTAACCACAACCATCCACCCAAGAATACCAAAAAGGGCTTTAACCCATCCTGGGACTTTCTGAAACCATCCTCCATCAACCCAACCATGTCCATACCGCTTCCCGTCGACTCGAATCGCCAGAATGGTTCCTTGACGCGTTGCAGCTTTCAAATCTGCCTCTGTTGCTGGCTCCATAGTTGTGTGAGTCTCAAACTTGTAACACTGGTATGCGTGACATAGAAGAGATAGATGCTCCCTGTTAGGGAAAGTTCAATGTTGCTTCCAAAATACAGTATGTATGCATCACAAATGACACGTTACTGACGTACCTGATTGCAATTGGTGTACCCAGCATAATCATCACAATCGTAGCCCCACTGCTCTTCATCGCCTTCTCCGTCATTTTCGTCTAAGTATCGCTTCCTACGTCGATTATTGTTGTCCGCAGATCCCGAGTTTTCTTGTGCGTCTCCTCCTGCGGACAAATCATATGCCCGGCAAGGCTGGCACTGTTTGTACACGCCCATGTGATGATTCCACCGTTTGATGGCCGTGGTCCAAGAGCTGGCGATCTGTTTCCCTTTGTCATAGTTGCCTTGTAAGTCATAGAAAAGCATAATGTAGTCCTGGATTGTTGTTCTCGATTGTTTGGTGCACATTGCATCTGAGTATACAGCAATCGTCATATCGCCCATGGGCTGTGGGGATATTGCCATGTATATGGTGTTGCCATAATCATCAGGGAAATACAACTGTTGACAGTCGTAAGGAACCATGTATTCACGGAAATTGGCCATCTTTTCGAAGGTATTCTCGCTCCAAAGACAGTACCCTTGGTGCTTGAAAAGCTGCTCCGCAAAGTCGTACAATCCTTCTGTTTCTTTGAAGACGCCCACCAGCTCAAAATTTTCGCTCTCGGGCTCGTGACAATCCAACGGGACGCACCGCTCTGAGCGACAGTATGATTCGTCATAAATCCCCGTGATTGGGTCGTAGTACTGATACTCTCCAATGGAACCTCCACTGTAATTGGGATCGCGATACTGATGCGACCCAGAGTCCAGAAATCGGGAGCATACAGACAAGTTTCAGGTAAGGTACAGAGAGCTGTGTAGCACGGAAGCATTGCGATCATACTTACTGCAGCCCACAAGACTTTTCGAATGCAGCCTTTATTGTCGTCAGATGACAAGTGACGCTCCCTTTCGTCCTTGCTGTCACCTTCATCTTCGCTCTCTTCGTCATCGCCACAATCGACAAAGAGACCAAGGTATCTCCATGCTAACGAATATGGCTCGTACTGGTTACCATCAGCGTCTACCAAGTAGCTTGAGTAGCCATCGTTGCTGTCGAGGCTGCGACGGCGATCCTCTCGTGATGATGAAAAAGGATTATTCACCGACGTTCGTGGTGATGCTTGCTGAGGCAGCCAAGCCAAAGAAGACCCCTCTAAGTCTAGAGCAGCATGGCTAAGATCAGGAAGAAAAGATTGCCCTATCATGGTGACAGTATGTGTATGGTACTAGAACCAGGAGATGGTGTTGTTTGTCAATGGTGAATGTCTTGTCAAGTGCGGCTGCGTTGTTTCTTCGCCATCTGCGCGGTGCTCGTTGCTGCTTTGTTTCACCGCCTCTTTTTACCTTTGCTGGTTCCGCGCAGCAAACGAACAAGTCTTCGGCTCTGGCTCTAGCTAGCTAGTATGCTAGTAGTGCAGCTCCTTGTTACGTTTGTTGTGAGCGTCGCAACGCTCTGATGCTGCTGGGCTCCTGGGGACAATCTTTCGTGAGGGGAGAGGCTTGCTCGCAGGCCTGGGAGCACCGCACCTCGTTCCGTTTTCAGCGCACCTTAAAATTCGTCGACTCACGTGTTCCTTGTGCCAAAGATCCTCCGTCGCGTTGTTCAGAGCTAAAGGGTTGCGGTTGTGGCAACTGTTCGCAATCCATTTCTTGCTGCATTACTATCTGACGAAGGATCCGTCTCTTATACCCCCAAATTGCCAGCAGCAGCATGATGGCGCCGTCAAGACATCCGTTTCAACCTAGCCAAAGGAAGGTCTCGGTTCTTGTATTTCATTTCTTCATCCTACTAGGCCGGCCATTGATTCCATATGTGACTGCCATTCCAACTCTTTCCTTCAAGACTACAGATGATATTGGAACGCGGAAGACATTCGACACAGTGAACGACCCGTTTAAACCGCTGACGTCCTTGGTCAAACCTCACACAACCCTGCATCGAATATTGAATGAAGACAATGACGACAGCTCTGCATCCATTGTCCTTGTTGACTCCGATGGAGAAGAATATGAACCATACGCAATGGCATGGCGTTACCTTGGCATGTATATGGATTGCGATGTACAAGACTCCAACGCGTACTACGGATGGACCGACAACAGTAAAGGCGGCGACGACGATTCCTGGGACGATGATATGGACATTGAAGACATGGCCAACTGGTATCGAAGAAGACGGCATCTCAGCGGTTCACAGGACTCTGGTGACGACTGTACACGCAAAGTTCTGTGGGCTGCTTACGTAGACCCTCGTTACAAGGGTGGTTCAATTGGAGAATACCAGTTCTTCAACTTCTCCAGTGGTGACTACAGTCGAGAATTTTGCAAGACACGTCGTTGCGTACGAATGGATTGCCACGAGCCCAATACTCACTTCAAGCTTGTTGGGGTCTATAAGGAAGCAGATGGGTTTGTAGATTGGGCGGAGCAGTTGTTCAAGCATCAAGGGTATTGTCTTTGGTCGGAAAACGACTACGAGTGGATGGAAAGCTACCGAGAGTTCTGGCCTACCTATTGCCGCCAGTTGTACTACTCTGGCTACAATGGTGAAACCCTTTACATGGATCTGAGGCCTCAGGCAGAGGGGGATATCACAATTGGCATCTTCGAGGACGAACTTTGCGTTACAAACTCGTCTTACACCTTTGCGGATTACATCCAGATGTACTACAACTATTATGGTTACTACGACAAGGGATATGAGGTTTCGCAGACATGGCAATACGCTATTAACACGTGGAATTCATACATGGATGTCTACAAGTAAGTGGTCCATGATAAATCTTTCGGAGACTTGACGGTGGTTCTTACTGCTCTCATCTTGCTTTGTCCACAACTGCAACTTCCACCATACGCTTTGTTTATTCAGAGTTTGTCAACCTTGCCGTGCCTACAATCTGAACGTGAATTTCTGGAGTGACGGGGATGATGATGACTCAAAAAGCGGAAGCGGAAGCGGCGACGGTCGCCGCTTCTTAGACGAAAACGATGGTGAAGGGGACGCTGAGCAATGGGGATATGACTGCTACGACGATGCAGGTTATACAAATTGCAATCAGGTGAGCAGGAATGAGCCATGGCAAAGTGACCACATCGTGATTGGCAAATGTCCAATTGAGAGACGCATCTGAACCTGTCGTTGCCTCTTACAAATAAATGCGTGATTTGCAGTGTTACAAGTTTGAGGCAAAGACGGACATGGAGGTTGCTACTGCCAAGGATCTGGAACGAGCCTCGAAGCAGGGCACCATATTAGAAATCCGCGTCAATGGCACAACCTATGGTCACGGTGGCTTCCGTGGGCCGCTCAAGATTACAACACCAGAAGTGTGGATGAAGATATTTGCTGCGTCGGCTTCTCTCGCTGTGGCAATGTCATTTCTCTATCTATACTACGCTACACCATACCGTCATTCGGCGACTAGATGGCTTGGAACTGCACTCTATTGGGTCAAAGATAAATGGTCCAATTGGAGGCAAAAGAGAAAGCATGCTGGAGACAATTATCATCTTGAAGATGGTGTGCCACAGAAACCAGAACGCTACGTACCCCCCTCCGAAAGCAACAAGGACCAGTCCGGACAGGATTCTGCTCTGGATGAAAGCATCGACACCTTTGCAACTGCCCCAATGGACAAGGACGATGATGGTTCTCGCTATGCAGATAGTTTACAGACCATGACAACTGCGACCGAAGAGCCGAGTCCAGATCGAAGCAGCTCTTCAGGGCAACGCTTGCCACCAGTTGACATGTTGGATGACACCCACAGTAGTTCCACCGGGGCTTCTTCTGGCGTTCCTTTCTCAGTTGACTCAATGAAACA